AAATAGTACTGCACAAGAAGACCTGCCAGCACATAAAGTCTCCAAAGTCCCTTGAAATTAGGACAGTATGGACCAAACAACCCGAGCCCTGCTCTAGCCGTCAACTGGCCAGATTGCCCAGAGAAGCATATGGAAATACAGTACTTGTGACTCAGTGGCTTGGATGTTGCCTCTCCCCCCCACCCCCCCACCCCACCCCCGCTTCTAACTTACTGAAACGTCAAAACTGTTTAACAAAGCTGGGAGATCAAGGTGAAGAGTGGACATCCTCAATCAGAGACTCACTGGCCTAAATATATTCAGCCTCACAGCACTCAGATACCAAAGGAACCCTGGCTGAATCCCACTGCAATATACACTCATAGACACAGGCTACAGAAACCACAGAACAATTGCCTCCTCGGATCAAAGAAATAACTTTATTTCATCTAGGGGGCCATATGAGGGAGCCCAATGAGCATATCCGTTCTATCACAGTAGAGACCATTTCATAATCCTTTTGTATTAATACATGCACGCTGTCACTCTGGGAAAACTAAGACAAAAGATGACAATAACAATAACGGGAGAGAAAGAGAAGCACCACCCCTTTTTCTATTCCCATTCAGTCTGCCAACAGTATTTCCTTGGGTCCATGTGTCAAAGCCTTTGCTAGGCGCTGGGGAGTCCAGCATGAATAAACCCATACTCCTTCATCACACGTTAGAGGGGGAGACAGAAATGGACACCAAAACCAAATGGCCCTGCAGGGTGATAAGAGCTCTACAGACTAAAGCACACAGTGTCAAGACCACCTGTTCCAAAGGTTTATGGCTATCAGGTCATTTTCAAGTACCTGGCTGTCCTGTCCTCTCAGATTGCTCTAGTCAAAAGCCTGGCTGAGACACTGGATATTTGAGAAAGTCGGCCTAAAGAACATGTTAACCATTCATTCCTCTAGGTTTTCTGAGCTCTATTTTTGCACTGGGGACAATCGCCAGAACTCCATGGCTGAACCACAGTAGCTCAGGCTCCCAAAGCTAAACTCCCACTGGGTTACTTTTCATCATTTTGCCTTCTGCATTTTTGATTCTCATAAAAGACATGAGCATATAAAGAAGTTTACTGCACGTTCTGTAGAATTGAAGTTCAAGTACTGGCCATTATGTGATTTGCTATTTCATGTAAGTATATACTAGGTACCAGGCACCAGGCACCATGGTAAGCCCTCTATAGATGTTATGTGAGGTATCTTTACAACTTGAATGCATACCTACTACCTCCAGACCCCCTTTTTCCTGTTAACTTGGCTACTGAGCTCAGAGCTCAATTAAATACTCCAAAGCAGTAAGCACTTAGGATTTCAGTTTAATTATCTTTACTCCTGTATAAAATGTTGATCTTTCTTCCCCTACCATTTTCACAAGTCTCATCATTTTGGAGGATTTTTATGACGCATTTCTGCAGACACATTTCTGAAAGTCCATACTCTGTAAACAAAAACACATTACCATAACCACCCACTGTCATTTCCTTTTTGTCTTAATTGTCAAAGGAGTTTCTGTGAATAGCTAATTTGGAGATGACCCTTTGGGTATCACACCTGGGTCACTTCAAAACTCAGATAATGGCAGTATGTCCCACAATCATCTGGTTCAGAATCTGTTTATGAAAGTGGGAAAAGAGTTCTGTAAAAAGGGGAAAGTTAAATGACTTAACCTGTAACAAGGAGTCCCCACCAGGTTATTTCCAAATCTACCCCAAAGAGCTATTTCAATCTTCTATTGTGTCCTGACAGTCCCAGTTTGTCCCTTCCCCAACTGCTACTTTTGTAGACCAGCTATACCACAGCTCGCCCTTGGTCTCCTTAGCCCTGCCAAGGCCAGAGGCACTGCCAGGACCTGCTGAGTGAGAAGGCACTGCGATCATCCAGTGATGTCGGTTCCCTGGAATTTCACTCTTCACACTGACAATGCCTCTGGAACTCATAAAGATTCTGCTGATACCCAGAGAGTTGAAGGTCAGTGTCTTCAGGGAATCAAGGTAACCTGCTAAGACAAACTGCTGAGGATTTCCGCGTACTCAAGGCAAATGCCTCCAGGAAGAACTTGCAGAAATAGCTCTCTCTGCATTGTCACTGTAGAGAATAGAATGGGGCTAGCTTTCATCTCACAAAAAGGGTAGGGGGAGAGATAAAGACTGAACCTTAGATTCAAGGCACACACATATGCAAGGGCACAAGTCTTGACATACCCAGTTGGTACCCATTCAGGCTGCTTAGCTGGTAGTTTTAGGAAGACAATGTTTGGATGCAACCATTGATTTATTTAGCCAAGATTTATCCAGCTCCTACTGTGTGCCATGTTGTTTAAAATGCTAGAGAACTAAGAGTTACTGAGGCAGTCAAGACTCTTCCTCCTGGACTCTACTTTCTAGACAGATAGGTATTCAACAAGTACCAAATGAAATGACAATTCAGATTGCAAATAAGATCAAGGGGCGGCGGGGTGGGTGGGAGAAACTAAAAACAGTATGATGGCTCTAAGAAAGAATGAGTCAAGTGATCACAGAAGGGCTTTTTAAGAAGGCAACACATAATCTTACACTAGAATGGCAAAGAGGAGCTAAAGAAACAAATCACCTCCACTCGGATTTCTATCAAAAAGATGACCTTGCTAAAAAAAAAAAAAAAAAACAAGCAAACAAAAAGCAACCCTGCCATCCCACGTGTGGCTTCCCCCCACACCATGCTTCAAACCATTTCAAAAATTCCCGGAAAGGAAAGGAATCCACAACTTTCTCTTCTCTTAAGGAAATTTTAGAGAAATTACCTTTTCCCCCAAAGAGCCTAGATTAAAAGCCAGTTGTCTTAATTCATCACTATGACAGGATAAAGAATCTAAAAGAGGAGAATAGAGAATTTAAAAAATTATAAGGTCAGTTACTCTGTAAAACAATATTCCAATGTCAATAAAATTATGCCTTTGCATTATAATGTCAACAAGAATTGCTTCATTAAAAAAATAGTTCAATGGCTATATTTAGTAGCACTTACTCTCACTAAAAAAGAAAAGCAAATCATATCTACTACCAGATGGTCCCACTTCCAATATATAAAAAACTTTGGAAATCATCAAAAATAAGATTCTGATAGTTTCCATTTAACATGTACAAATAATAAATGATTGTTCACCCATGTCTTCCCATATATTACCCTCAAAAAGTCACTTCCTATTGAATTTCTGTCAGACTTGATTAAAACCCTTAACCAACTGCCATGAAAACTCCTAAAAATATCCACTGCTCAAAACGCTTTTCGTCAAAACACCTTTTTCTTTAATGTTTCCTAGTCCCTGACTTGTTTCAGAATAAGAAAGGTAAGCAGAAGCGAATTAGAGAGCAGATCAGTCACGATGAATATTCAGAATGAATCATGGAATATTTTGACTAAAACGCAATTTTTAATACTGTAATCCAGCACAGGCCATATATTATTACAATGTAAATAAGCAGAGTAAACTAAAACAGAGACAAATAATGTAAAGACATTGCTCAACAGGTCTACAGGATCCAATGCATTTACCATTCTAAAAATTGCTGTGCTCTGACATTAAATACACCTTTGAAGGAATGCCTGAGTTTTGAACTTCAAAACTGGTCTTTAAACCTGCATCTAGCACCTAAGACCAGTAACAGGCTATTAAAAGGAAGACTCTGTTTGCAATGTATTTACTGATGATTAGGCACAAGGTTTCAATCTTCACAAAATCTGAACGTGTGTGGAGACGGGAGGGGGGCGGAGAGTATTAAACTTGTTTGTTCAGGTTCACTTTTTCTTTGACTCAGCTTACGAACTGTTATGCTTCTAGACTCTTTTTGTAAAATGTCCCATTTGGGGACAATTATACATTTAACCTTCAATAAATTAAAAAAAGAAAAAAACCACCCCATGCGCCCTCCCCTTCAACAAATCAGAAGGCTTAAGAATTAGCACTAATAATAATCCTACAATGGTCATTGGGAAATCCTCCTCCAAAATGACAACTGCAGCTAAGAAGGACGCGATCTACAGGGAGCAAGGAGGTAAACTCCCCCAATTTAGTCCTCCTCCGAGGGGGGCTGGAGGCCGGAGGAGGGGACAGAGCGCAGCTGGCACAACTCCCGGTTACCAGAATCAACTCGAGGCGACCCAGCGGAAGATGCTGCGTCAAAAGAAGAGCAAGGCAAAGAAGCGCGCGACCCAGGAGGGAGACGAAATCGGCCACCGAGTCCCCGAGGAGGCGGGGAGAAGCCAAGTCGCCAGGCACCGGCAACGGCGCACGCCAACATTCAAGATTATTCTCCCTTCCAAACCCCGGAGTTCCGGACCAGAAGAAAAACGGGGGAAGGGGAGGGGGGGAGAATCCACAGTCCCTTTAAACCGCCTCCCCGCTCCCCGCCCCCCGGTGTCTGCCAACCTTTTCCGAACCCCCGTGTCACAGAACTTCCTCATCATGGAAACTTCCACTCGGTTCGGCGCTAAGGATGCCAAACTCCATTTCACAAGGAGCCTGTCAACAGCTGGGCTTGGGGGTTTGAGGAACAGAGCCGCTGCGACTGGAGGGGCCCCCAGACACCCCGCTCCGCCACGGCCCACGCCGGGGCTCCCCGACTGCCGTCGCGCGGGGCCGGAGCACGAGGGGCACCTTCTCCCGGACCCGGGGTGCAGAAACCCCGCCGAGGCAGGTAACACGGCGGCTGACACCCTCCACCCACGCCCGCCCGCGCGCCCAGCTTCGCCGCCCGCACCCCCCAGGCTCCGGCGACACCCCCACCGCCCGCCCGCCCACCCTTCTGGACAGTTGGAACTGCCGCCCCCTCCTCGACCCTCCCCCACACGCCCCCGCCTGCGCGCGGTCCTCTCGCCAAATTACCGGTGCCCTCGAGACGGTCGGGTCGAGTGCCCCTGCCCGGGGAAGGCAGCCTGCGGGCGCTTGCCCCGAGCCCGGGGAACAGAAGGTCTCCTTTCCAAGCGCACTCACATTATTCATGCAAAGTTAATCCCCGCCGCGTCACGGCCGCCCGCCCGAGGATGTGCGCCTTCCTTGGCCAAGCCCCGCAGTCTCCACCCTCCTCCGCCCCCTCCTCCCGGCGGCGGGGTCCCGGGGAGCGCCGGCGGCGGGACGTCGCGCGAGTCCTGCAAAATGTCAACTCCTTGGGCGAAGAGAGGCGGCCGCCGCCAGGGCCGCGCCGGCCCTCCCCGGCCACTCCACTTTTATAGGCGTAGGAAGCGAGTGTGGTCCGGGCACCGGAGTCCCCGCCTCTCCGGGCCCCGCTCGCACCCGGCCCGCCCCGGCCCGCTCCCGGGGCGCTGCCTTACTCCGGGCCCCGGGCGCCCGCGCCGCGCCGCGTCTGCGAACCGGTGACCTGGTTTCCCCTCCAGCCCTCGCGGCAGTCCTACTCGCGCGGCGGCGGCGGCGGCGGCGGCGGCCAAGAGCAAGCAAACCCGGCTCCGCCAGGGGCGCAGCGAGGAAATGGCCTCCCAGCCGCTCGCCCTGCCGCCGCCGCCGCCGCCCGGATGGCACCCGACGCCCCCCGCTGGGCTCCGGGTGGGGGCGCGCAGAAGTGTCCGCCACTAGGCGCTCGCGGACGCCTACCTCGCAGCCCACGCGCACACCGCCCCCGGCCGGCCGCCTCCGCACCTGCCTCCCCAGGTTCGGGCGCTCCCTCTCCTCCCAGTCCCGGCCGTGCCCTCCACCCAGGGTGCCCTTCCCAGGGCGGCGATGTCGCGGCGCCTCGGGCGGCCGCGCGTCCACCCACCCCGCGGCTTGCGCACCGAGGTTCGGGTTGGGACGTCATTCCTCTGGTAGGCGAAGAGGAAGAAATGGGGGACGACTGACAAGGAGGCGGGGGGACCTTCCAGAAGCACGGGCTTTTCTTTGCCCCGCAGGACCAGCGTAGCCCCTGCCAGCGCGCTCCTCTCGCTCCAAACCACTTGTGGCGCGTGTCCGGCGGACAGAGCGCTCTGTCTCCTCCTGGGGCCTCCCACGAGCCGGGCTGTCTGGAGTTCCCTGAACACCACCCGGCCCCCGCCTCCCCCACCCCCCCTCACCACCATAATTTGGAAAATACCTGGCCTCCTTTTGAGGGAGACACCCCTGCGCATAATTATGCATATCCTGGAAGATGTCTGCAGAGTTGAGACACTCCACAGGTTCCCGAAGGGCTGCCCTATCAATTTGCCTTTGCCCTGGGTATGCACAAATAAAACCCGGAAGACACAAATAGCGTATGCCCTCGAAGAGTTCTGCCCCAGGCAAACGCGGATTTCTCAAATCCCCCCCCCCCCCATCCCCCACCTCAAGTCTTGAAAGCCAAGGGCTCGGGTTAGGGGAAACGAAGCGGGCAGCTGCATTCTGGACTTGAAGAATGCTTGTAAAAATAACGGAGTGCCCCCGAAGCTAAAATGCAGTTGGTACCAAGGTATACTTGCCGCAAAACTGTTTTGACGACAGGGTACAATTATTTTCTCATAAATAATATTAAAAACAATTCCTACTTCATTTTTCAGTGCACACGTTTATTCGTACAGTGGGAGAGAGCTATGACGGTCTCATCCTCAACTGTCTGAACAATGTATAGATGATTTATTGGAGAGTTTTCCAGATTTCCAGCCGGTGACGTGTGATTTAATTCCAGCTTCTTGTGAGCATCCCCCGGAAAAGGGCGAGAAGCCACCACCCTGGCTAGCAGCATGAGCAGCCACAACTGTCCAGAAATTCGGGAAATGTTGCCTGCGCCGGGACGCACGGAGTTTCAGGCGCTTCCAGAGAGAAAATCGCAGACCCCAAGGCTCCCTGGTGAGAGGGAGGGGCCTCCCCGTCAGACTCCACGCCCCTTAAATCCCCACGGTTCTTGGCGATACATCCGTGCGTTAGTTTATTTTTCACTCGTAATAAGGCTATACCATAGGACTTGCAGGTTTTGTAGCAGGATAGAAGTTGTTCTCCCTTGCAGGGAAGTTCCTGGGCTTTGCTCCAATGCTGCCCCGGGATGTTTTGGTTGGTTTGGAGGAAAGCTGTCTAGTCTGCACCATTGGTTCCAAATAGGCGGCCCCCTGGTGGCTAACTGTGGGTGAAAAATCAGGCCACTGGGGAAAAAGCTTGGCTTTGATAGGCCACCACAGTTGACAGTCCGGTCTGCACTGGGGCCACAGAGCTGAGCGAACAACTTTGTAATGCGGGGCGGGCATGGGAGGGGCATGATGCGAGTCTTCCTTCACTAAGGTGGATAATAGGCCCTGAGGCCTGATGGAACTTTGCATTTTTTTCCCTCTTCCTGAGTATAACTTGGAGCTAAATTCCTTCTTCAGAAGGAAACATCATACAGAGAATGAAGTATAACAAACACTGCTGCTTCCTTTTGTTCAAATGGCTTTGTTTTTCTGATCTCATTTGGCCTGGAAACTTCTGAAATAAAAACTAAGTTACAACATTAAATAAATCGCATGGCATTATTCAAACGACTCATGAGACTATGATTGTAACAGTGTTATATAACAATGAGGGAAGGCAATTTTAATGCAACGTTATTGAAACAACATGAGATTTGAAGGATTCCATGAGTTGGCCCTCCGAGGGCGGACTCCGGGATGGCAACTAAGGATTGTCAACAGAACATGCCACTTCTTTTTCTTTTCACAAAGGGGGCCAACAGAGCAATCATTTTATGGGGACCTGACTGAAGGCAAAACTAATATTCAAACTTTAGACCATCTGGCCCCTGTTCTAGTGTAGCTGATTTGAGAAGGCACAGCTGTTTTCAAGACCCAGGCTCACATGCCACTGGTGGACATCCTTAGCACCAGGGTCTACAAATTGCAGGCTGCTGCCTTGGTTCAAGGAAGCAATTCATTCATATAGTCATTCATTCATCCACTGCTGGGGTAAGAAGAGAAATAAAATGTAAAGTCTAACAGGACTGGGGTTACACTGCAGCCAGAGAGGCCAGTGGTACAAATACAGGGTCTGAGCCTGTCTTTGTTTAAACTCTTGCTATATTGTTCATCATGGATGATTATTACATTAATTTTTATCTTAAAAATATTGCATTAAAGTATAGTTTCTCCTGATTACAGTTTTTGATGCCCCTTAAATTTTGCACTCAAGGCAAGTACATCATTTGAGTCCTCATTCCGCTGTGCCTTCAATAATAGCAAAGTCTGATCAGAGTCAAAGATAATTAATATAGGTAAGGAACGTCAGATTAGGCAGTTAGAGATGGCAAGGAGTTGTGAGAGAAAGGGGAAAAAATAAACAGAGATGTCACTGAATGAACTTGAACTAGTCCATCAAAGATGGAGTAGGTTTTACTATTCTGGGAGTACTGAAATCAGAGGAAGTGCTATTCCAGGGACTGGGACCACTAATATTCTTTCATTCATTCAACAGCTCCTTCTCAAGCTGGCTGTACAGCCAAATGACCCAGCGCTGGAGATCCTCATTCTGTTTATTGTTAGTTCCTGGAATTTATTTTGCCTATGAGGTCCCAGTGATTCTGGTCCATGGCTAGACAGATAAGAATGCCAAGCCTGTCCCTGCACTTCAGGAAAGACAGACTGTGAGGGGAGATGACATGTTCAAAAATTAACTCTACTTTACGAGTGCAATGAGAAATATGTAATGTAAATTTCCAGGTGATTGCTGGTGAGGAGGACATGATAGCCCAGGAATTGGTGGTGGTGGTGACGGTGCGAGGTAAGACTTCCTGCGGAAGATGACCGGATGGAACTTGTGGGAGAAGTCATAAAGAGGGAAAAACACAGCTGGCTACAATGTTTGCAAGGCTTAGTCCAAAAAGAAAATGTGGGGCCCTTTATTCAAAAAGCAGGGAGCGCCTGGGTGGCTCAGTCGGTTGAGCATCCGACTTTGGCTCAGGTCATGATCTCGCAGTCTGTGGATCAAGCCCCACGTGAGGCTCTGTGCTGACAGCTCAGAGCCTGGATCCTGCTTCAGATTTTCTGTCTCTCTCTGCCCCTCTCCTGCTCGTTCTCTCTCTCTCTCTGTCTCTCTCTGTCTCTCTCTGTCTCTGTCTCTCTCTCTCTCTCTCTGTCTCTGTCTCTCTCTCTCTCTCAAAAATAAATGAACATTTTTTTTAAAAGCAGGGGAAAAAAGCACCATTCCAGGCAGAAAAGATAAGGCAATCTCCTTCCACATTCTCTTCTTGGAATTGTCATGGTATTTTTTATTTGCTATTTAACATCATTCTAAGTAAAGAAAAATAAGCATTTTAAATTATTAGCACTAATTTTACTGTTCATTTTTCTATTATGCTATGGTAGTTTTAAATGCAAATATAAGAGCATTTAACTCAAACGTGAAATCAACAGAATTACACAATTTGTATTCTGTAGCTAATTCATGTATTTTGTAGTTTGTATATGCATATGTGTTTTGTTCTTATCAGAACAGTGGAAACACAGCAGAAAACTAACTCAACTGTTTTTATTTTACTCCTTGATATGTGCCCATTCTGCCTACATTCTATCTTAGACTTATGTACTGTTGAGGAAAGAAGAACTGAAAGGAAAAGGAACTGTGGGTTTCCCTTTCCTTCTCTGTCATCATTTTCAGAGTAAATGGTTTGATAATTCAGGGAAGTAAGATGAGTAAGAAAGGACATGATAGGGTTTCTTGGTTGTTGCTTTCTTTCTACATTCAAGGCAAGAATGGAATGGGATGGAATAGAATGGAATGCATGGTCTCTTGGGGTTGTCAGCACCCCCACTTATTGAGTCATAGATGTAACATGCTTATCTTAGACTCCATTTGAGTTTTGCTGACCTCTCACACATTGTGGGGCCATTGGAATTCTGTGCTCGTCTCACATCAAGCTTGTTATATGTAAGTGTTGGTTCACAAGATCCTTGTGAATCTGAATCTGAATCCCAAGTGTAATATGAAACTGGTCCCCAGATACAGAAGGTAGGGAGAGATCAAAGAAAGTCAGGCCATTCCAGGTTGGTAGGTGGTAGGTTTAATGAGCAAGGGAATTTACATATAAGTCTGGTCTTAGGCAGCTGCAAGACAAGTAGATCTCCACATCCACCTGCCAAATCTTA